TGGCGAGCGGATGGATTTTAATCCGGCGACCCACTTGAGATTTGCCCTTGCTGCGAGAATACTTGGCTAAATCGGGCTAAGGAAGTAGGATAATGTCAGCGAAACAAACAAGAATATGCCGTGTGTGCCAAAATCTGCTGCGAACGAAAGATGCTCGAAAGACGTGGGTGGAGGCAAACAACGCAAAATAGCTAATCTAGCGATAAAAAGCGATTGGCCGAACGCCAAGGTGTTTTGTGAATTTAACCCTGCTGTGTGTGGCGACTATGTAGGGAAATGGGACATTATAGAATCGAAGGATAAGCTCGTCGCCACTTTCGACTGTTACTTGTCGACTCTAGAATACGCGCGATAACGTTGTCAACTACGGTAAACTCCGGTTCCAGTGCGCTTTAATTACTTCGAGTTTCATCGAATGTGCAAACTTTAAATATCATCATGTAACTAATTCTCGAATGAAATCTCCGGAAAAGATATGAGTATTTCAAGACGCGACTCTTTGAGGGTTAAAATTAAGCGATTCGCAAGCTTTTGGCTGCTTTTCAAAGAAAGTCAATGGTGAAGAAGTTTCTCCCCTGGTTATGATAAATCTCACGTATCCTCGCGCGGAGTCAAAGATTCGCGTCGATAAAATGGTCACACGAAAAAAGAAGAGAAAGAAGAAAAAGGAAAGAAAGAAGCGGCATGAAAATGGCCAACGTTGAACGTGCGCAGCGTATCTCGGAAATCCAATAAGTTAAGGGCTCCGTACAATACGAAGCATCTGCTCTTATCTTTAGGAAATTCCGGAGACACGCGAATATTCAGCGGCGAGCACATCATTCGCCCAACATCCTCTTCCCCATATCGCGCGCGAACATATCGCGATAGCTACATTCACGCGCGAATGTGTATTCATAGCGGGTCTCGGAGGCGCGCCCGCGCGCGTTCGCTCGCTCTTGCCCGCTTTATGCGAATCGTATCGCGCGCCGCGTGGCATTTATCGGTCTTGCCGTTATATATATAAGATGGACACGATGTGGGGCCGCGCAACCGGCACAACCTGCTGTGTCGCTAATTCAATTTCGACATATTCCGCGGCGTCATAACCTAACTCCGTCGGCACGCCTGACGTTATGCCGGAATTCCAACGACGTCGCGACGGTGACATCGACGCGGAGGGATCGGCGCAAATATCTCCAGGTCGATTAAAGGGCCCGATATTGGAATCTCCGTCGCCGCGGCGCTATTAAATTAATGGTCGCGCGTAAGGTGTACCGATTCGGCCGGATCCGTGAGATGTTCTCTCTCTGTTTCTCTCTCTCTCTCTCTCTCTCTCTTCCTCTCTCCCTTGCTCTGTCTCTCGTTTGAAGTCGAAGCGAGAGATATTGAACGGGCAGGAGGGTGGCTTTCGCCGGATGCCGGCTGCGAAGACGGTCGAACTTGCACAGCCACGGAGATAGACGGTGGTAAACTTAACTAATTATGAATGCAGGTAGCAAAGACGTCGCCGCAAATGCGCGCGGTGGCGGTCGCATTGTGCGCCGTGGCCGAAGTAGACGCGATGTTATTTCACTTGCGGGAACGAGACGGAGTACGCGATGTTTGCCGTGCTCTTAAGACGGCGCGTCGGTTGGTTTAGTTCTGCACGGTGTTCTCGGGTTCACCGCGGGTTTCCTTTCATCTATGAGCGCTTTGACTAATTTGCAGTAGACAGTGGCTTTCCTCCGCAACAAAAACGCGCAACTACCAACGGCTATCATTTTCCTCTCCGGCACGATCTCCGAGCGATTTTTATTGTTCCGTCTCTCTTTTCTCCCTTCGCAAAAGTGGAACGTTCGTCTTCGTCTTCTCTCCCTTTCCTCTCTTTCCCCTCCTCTCTCTCTCTCTCTCTCTCTCTCTCTCGCTTCTTCTTTTTCCTTTTCTCTCCCACCCCTTCGTTCCTCAACATCGAATTCTGTTTCCACCACTTTCCTCATCCCTCTCGCTTTATCCGCGTTCAAATTCTCCAATGGTCTCTCGTGCCGGTGCATTTGCCGTGTGAACTTTTTGTTTCCTAACAAGCAGAGCGAAAGTCACGTACGCCCGGTTACGAAAGTCTGTACAATTTGGGAAAATTGAACTCTACGCGGCGGTTCAGACAGTACGACGGACTTTCTGCTTAACGAAGGTCGCCGGGTCAAAATCGCGAAAATTGGATCGGACGTGTGTAAAAGAGATTCGATTAATGTGCCGAGCTTCGAAAAGATTCATTGCACGATCACCTTTATTATTACAAAAAGCGTGCAAAGCCAAAAATTGCCGAGAATTAGTTTCGGCAATGCAAAAGCCGTGCGTTGCATTTATTTTGGAAACAATCATAAAGAATTATTATAAATTAATAATAAAATTATTATTGCAAATATTTTTCGTATATTGTCCAATTATCGCGTTTTTCGCCAACGCCGATAACAATAGCGTTGAGGTTCTCGATAGAAATGAGCAATTAAAAAACTTTTAACGATGAGCTGCAAACTTACTTCAGATATTCCTACTCCTGAAGATATTAATTCGCATGTTCATGTATGAATATCGTATGCGTATGCGAAATGTTTTACACGTACAAAGTGCGCTTTATGAAAGAACAATATCGCGGTCTTTTTGCGAGTATCAATCCCGAAATACTGCAGTCGGATACGTATCGTACCTTGTCGGACACGGGGACGGGAAGAATGTCGTACAGGTTGAAAAGGGGAAGTACAGCATCACGGAAGGATTTGTGGCCTCTGTCTGTGACAGCTTTGGAATCGTCCATCATGGTATTAAACAATTTATCCGCCGTTGTGTGCTATACTGCGTCGCGTGTGTCTCGTACGGGCGACATGCGCTCGCGCGCGAAACGTTGATTGAAATTTATGGAAACGCGCTCCTCCCGGCGTTTCTAAATGTTCTCTTTAAATTGAAATTACTGAATGCGATTTGTTAGTGTGTTTGCCACTTTACCCCAAAAGCTGTTCAAGTATTCTATAATTGAGCCAAATACTCGAATATCCGAGTAACTTGAAGCGCTCTTCAAACAATTTCAACACAATCATTTGAAAATAATTTGAGCGCTCGATTTAATTTGACGAACCAGATTTGGGTTCGTTGCATTTACAACGAAATAGTGTGCAAATATTTGCAATGTTCTGATGTATCTAGTTGCACCTTTTGACTATTTGCTTGCCTCCAAGTGCACAATGTATTGTTTAATACAAATTCGCAAAGGTAAATTTAAATAAAGATGAAAATTTTTGGTATTTCAAACAGACCTCATTGCGGCCCCTATGCCGCTTCAAATGAGTCGTGAATGAAAGAAACTTTCCAGCGGAAACGTTACTACCCAGATTCCACGTGCCTGGTATACAGCGATATTCGGTGTTTCCTTCGCGTCGCGCTAAATATTTGCACGAACGGAGCGGAAACGAGTGCGCGCCACTATATCGGATATCGTTTGTTTTGGACACCGGCCAGACCTTACCGGCGGTAATTTACGGTAAGCCAGCGCAGCGCATTTCTTCCCCCTCGAAGTGTCTCCTCTGGGCGGATCTAGTGAGTGGTGCTGTTAAAGAGCGATGGGGGGAGCCCTTGGCGCGGATTTTCGCCCTTTCGACGCTGCTTGTTCCCCCGAGATCTCGGAGTAGGAAGGGGGAGGAAGGGGAGAAGAAGAACAGCTGGCAGCGCCGTGATATTGTCGAGAATGTATGCGGACGGTGTTATGAAAAATTAAAATACGTCCCGCGGGCGTATTTATGGCGTGAACATCGCGGTCTCGAGGCGCAGATAAGCGTCGCCCGGTAAGAATGATTATAGACTCTCTCCCCTCTCCCTTTCTCTCTCTCTCTCTCTCTCTCCTCGAAATATCTCGGGCGTGCATTTATGGAAATGGCAACTTCCATGCGCCATCGATCGCGCTCATTTCTTCGACCGTTAATAATGATAATACTGCGCTATTGTATTAGCGGAGGAATATACCGACAATCTGAATGCGCGATTGAAATTGATATCGTTCGATACTGTTGCGTTCACTCGCGTCCGAGAGACGAATAAGTCATCACGTAAATCACATAAAATTACTTGAGCCGTTTAATTCCACTATCAACAGCTCGTATAAATTTTGTAGTCGTTCGCTTTCCAAAAATGTCAGATGTCTAATTTTTTTGGTTTTTTATTATAACTTTTTTCAGCTTTATTGAATCGCGAAAACATTAATAGATCCATATTCCTCTTTGTTTCCTATACCGATAAAAAAAAGCGTTGAATTTTGATCAATTTTACGAAAGTTATGAGAAATGGAAATACATTGAAATGAAAATTTATCCATGTTTAGGGTTTACGTAACTTTTTGACGTTTAGGATTAAAGCTAGAATCACACGATACACGATTGCATGCCTTCTTATATGCATGCTGATCGGCAGTTTAGTTCACTGCGTAAATCGCTATCGTGTATTGGCAGATCTATGCAGTGAACTGAGCTGCCGGTCAGATGAGCATGCATGTCAGAAGGCATGAAATCGTGTGTTCGTAGCTGAAACTAGAACTGACCGGCAGCTCAGTTCACTGCATAGGTCTTCCAGTACACAGTGGTGATTCATGCAGTGAACTGAACGACTGGTCAGCATGCATGTAAGAAGGCATGCAATCGTGTATCGTGTGATCGCAGCTTCAACCCCTAATCTTGAGGAACATGCACTTCGTCTATCCAGACTGCAATCGTTTACACCGCAATACTAATCAATATCGATCCGATGTGTTTTATTTTTTAATTATTTTCTATGTCATTAAATCATAAAAATATTAATAGATTCTTTGATGTTTTTTATACCGATTTAAAACAAAAATTAAATTTTCATAATTTTTATGGAAGTTATTACGAACAAGTAAAATCTCGCAAAAGTGTGGGCGCAATAATTCACGCAGTCTCCGAACTAATTGTTTCGCGCATTGCATTAAAGCGCGATCTAAATTGCGTATCGGTATAAATGTAGGAGTGAAAACTCACCGAGTTGATGTAGTTGATAAGAGATAATCCGCCGTCCCAGGGGTGCTCGAGTTCGCAAGAGATATTGGCGGGTCTTAAAGCATGGGATTGCTCCAGGGTACGCAATCCCACTGCGAACACCTGTACGCTATCGTACATCAACGCTGGCTCGGCCTGCAAAAAATAGTTTTCGATTTTATTCGTTGGTCGTTTCCGTCGAGCGACAACAAGCACACGCCATATCGGAAACTACAAATATTTTCAGCTATGTCCTCCGCAATTTCGCAAGGTTTAATTCCTCACATTGCCTCAAGGCTGCTCGCGATTGTCGCTCTACTACGATGAACTACTAAGAACCGCTATAACAGCACATAATCCACTTAAAATCGAGGAACAAAAGAATCGTCTCGTCATATAATCGTCCTGAAGCCGCTATTTAATTTATTTTCGTTCATATTCTCGCGATTTCCCGAAGCGCAGATATCGCGAAAATCCCAGATCAAATTTAGCAAGACAAAATGGAAATTATTGTTTAAAAGGAATGGAAACAATGGACAAGTGGAGGTGCCAAATTGTATTTGCCGGAACATGGGTGTATTAATGAACGCGTGAATTGCGGCGTGAATTGCGATTCTGACGAGATTAAACGCGAAAGTAAGCGCGCACCGTGAAAATATGGCGCGGGAAACGCGGGCGGAGGACGTAGGACGCAGAGACTTGGGAAGACGGGCGGACGCGGGCGCGAACTACGCGAGCACGAACGCGCCATATACTAATTGTAACGCCGTTAGTCGCGTGTGCGCGTTTATTTCCGTGAATTATGAAATTCACGGTACGCTGCTATGTCGAAGTTACGTTCTAATCCGCTCGTCGGGACGGCGACGAGAACGAGACGACGTTGCGCTCTCGTTGCCGGAAACGCGCCGACGGAAAATGTAATATTCAACGAGAGCAGACTATAGGGAATTTGACGGCGACATCGCGCGAATTAACTCCGTTCACACGCTATTTATCTCGTGTCGCCGAAAGCTCGCTGACGAGATGTTTCTTTTTGCGCTTCGTCGCAATTTTTGCGCAGTGGAAACGCGCTCTCAATAAAGTACAATGATCGATGGAAAACACGCGGAGTGGGTACCGCGAATTTCGCCATTTTGCGCGCGCACGCGCGGCTTATAATTCTACGATATGCGTATTCACATTAAACGCGAATGAACGGAATATTTAGCGCGAAGATAAACAAAGTGTATACGTGGCGCTTATTGATTTTTCGTTATCTGTTCCGGTTGCTTCTTTACTGTCGCGGCTGTTCCTGCGATCCAGCGCGATTTGGTGTTACCGAATAGGCAGATATCGCATTTATCAGCTCAAAAATTAAATTCGCGCGCGTCGACGTGGATTTTGCCTCTCATCTACATTTGAGATTGACGTACCACTGCGGGTTGCTACATTTTATTACGCGCGTCAATAAAAATTATCGACTGCATTATATTGAAATTTCGCTTATCAATGAGCGAATAAACAAAATGAATAATCAACATAATCAAACTGTTCTCGGAATGGTGCTCGCACAATTTGTGTGAGAAATTATTTTATATCCGATTGAATTAAAAACATCTTGACATGCTCATCGGTAATTGTTTTGCGGTAGAGTTTTAGCCATTATTGTTCGATTAAAATTTTCATTGACTAATAATCGGCAAACAATAATTAAATTAACCAATCGTTACATATAAAGTCTCGTTTAATTTCACCGATTAAAAAATTTAATTTCTCTGTTCGACGTCATTTTGCGACATGGATGCAAATAGTTATTTCAGATGTATTTTTACCCGTTGAATACAAATCCGTTGTCCAAATATTTGACTATCACGTCATAATTTTGAGAAAAATGGGATAAAAAGGGTCATAAATGACAATTTCGAGGGATTTTTTTTTAACAGTGAAAAATACGTCGAAAATGGCTATTTGCATTCATATCACAAAGAAAAGGTCAATTTATCGGGTAGCTTTGTTGATCAGTGTATAATCAATCACACGTCAATTCTGGATTAACAATTAATTTAATCAATCGATAAAATCCTTTCTGATTTTACATATGACAATTGGTTAATTCCAATTGTTGATTTGATGATTGAAAGAGAACTTTGATCGATTAAATGTCCAACATTGCTTTACGCAAACCGCAAAAAAATCGGTAATTAACACGGTCGGTAACGCGAACAAAAGAAGGACAGCGGAATTTTAAAGAGCTCAGCGTCTCTCAGTTCTCCCTCTCAGGAGCGCGTGTAGTCCTATTATCTCTCGAGGGGTGTTTTTAGTGGTAGCTTCCGGTGCGATCGACGGAGGCGGTCACGTCGCGAATTGATTCCGCTCGTATTTCAGAGTCGTGAAACGATGCTAAGCACGGCGCGACCGTTCCGCCCGGTGCGACCGCTTCTCGTCTTCATTTCCTTCCCTTTCCCTGGCAACCCCGCGTGCACCTTCACGGCGGCGCGTCGTGGCAGGCACGTATTTGAGGCGGACAAACACACGGAAGCATTCAGGAAACGACCTGGGCTGCGTTTAGTCTTGCCTCCTGACTCCGCTTGCGAGCTCCGCCGCCTTGCCGCGAGCAGTTTGTGGAGCTTTAATGTTTGCCCTCGGCTAAAGTGCGACGTGTTCCCCGCGCCTTGCCGTCAACCACCCGCGCCAGTCCGCCGCCCGACCACCACCCCCGCTTCGCTTCGATATTGCGCCTCTGTTTACGCCGCGTAAATTTCGTTAGCACAACTAATCAACTTTGCCGTTGTGGTTTTTCAGCCAACTGTGATATTCTTCCTTGCTGTTTTCCACGACGCTGCTCGTCGTTTTCTTCTTACGCCTCCCGAGATAAACGCCAGCAATAAACGCGCACGCCTCGACGCGATCTCTCGACGCGAAATGCACCCGTTATAATTTATACATCGTTATCGTAACGTATTTAAGCGCGACGTGTTCGATAACGCGTCGCGATAAGTGTTGCAGACGATGTATCTCCGTAATATGCTTTCGAATATCGAGAGGTGCTCTTCGATTTGCATAGAGCAGAGTCTCTCTCTCTCTCCCTCGCACGCGCGTTCGTAATATCTCCACACACAAGGAGTCAAGATTCTTAACTCGGAAAATTTAAAGCTCAGAATTTAACTCGCACAACGGTGACATATTTGATAGTGCACTCAAATTACATAATTACGCTATTACATAAAACAAACAATTCCGTTAGTGAAGCTAAAATCACACGATACACAATTTCGACGATGCCTTCTTACATGCATGCTGCCTGATGCACTTTAAAGAGTTTTTTTCATTTAAGCTAAAATATTTGAAATTATACAAAAATTTGACGTAACATTTTTCGCAGTAAAACACATTTATAGTTACAATTTCGTGTGATTTGTCTGTGCCATTCATGAGAAATTTAATATTAAATATTGCAATTTTTTACACAATATTGAATATTGCAATTTTTAATATAACTTTCTAATAGAAGTAATACAGATGATCATTATTTCGATATAACTTCATAAAAAATAATGCCATTCAGATAAAAAATTGCGTTTGTAAATACTATATATTATACGGAAAAAAGATTTGTTTGGATTATTAGAAATCTTGTCAACTTAAAAAAATTTCTGGTTTGTTCACATTTTACCAGAAATTTGTCTAATTAAGCTTTTCTTCGTGCAGGAAGCGTGACGTAAAAAAGATTCATAGAAGAAAGACCGAGTGTGTCCACTACATCGTTTTTGTATAATGATTGATTGTAGAAAAATAGAGACAAAATGAAAAATAGTTGTACTAACAAAAAGATTCATACAGAAGATTTCTGCTCAGTCAGTTGTTCTCAGTTATTGCAACCAAATTTTTTAATATAACTGGACGTTTGAATGAATGTGTTTTCGTTTGCTGTAACAGAGATATTATTCCACGTCGCCGAATTTTCATTTTGTCCCTATTTAGCTGCACAAAATTAAATTTTTCCCGTATGCTCTTCATCATAGAATGCTAATTAATTTTATCAAAAGAAAATAGAAACTAAACTGGAAATGTGCTTGTGAAAATCGAAAAGCTTGTATTGAAAAAAAAAACTGAGTAGTAACGGTATGCATCGTCGGTCAAAGTGACTTTTTTTCCTCGTTTCGAACCCTTTCGTGTTGTCATCTATAACGATCGGCCCTTGTCGTCGTCGTTATCACGTTATCACTAATTATAGAAGATTCATACTCAGGACGGAGTAACTGAATGAAAAAATGTACAATAGTCTCACAAACTCGTCTATTACGCGAGGCGAGTTGCAAAAAGTTGAGCGCGTGCTCAATTTCGTTCAATATTAGTTTACAAATTATCGACATCAAGCGCTTGCGGTTTCACAATTACGCTAAAACCCCCTGGCGCGGGGCAGTAATAATCCGAAACGAGAATCCGCCGGAAAGTTTGTTCACGCGAAAGTTGATGAACTGGCGCTAACGTAATTTATGCGGCAGGACGCTAACGCAAAAGCGTGACAGGATGAAGCGAGTGGCTCAGGGCGTGCGAGCACATCCTGCCCTGTCTTACCTTTGCCCGAGGCAAACAATAAAGCCCGGCGTGCTATTTGTAGGCTAGAATCTCGTCGGCAAACTTGAAATCTGCCTGTAGAATAGCTAACGTGCCAACTGCGACCGGTTACGTCCTCGCCCCCTTTTCTTTGTCTAATTCTGCTTTTTTTTTCTCTTTTCTTTCTGCGACACACGATGAGTTAGGGCGCGACGCTATAGCAGTCATGATAGTGTAATAAGAGAGTAAAGAGTATATTTGCGTGAGAAACGGCCAGTGTCGAGGCCCATTCGTTACATCGCGAAGAGCAATGGAGGAAATTCCTGAAATTATTTCGACGGAACTCGCGCCGCCGGACGATATCGTAACGCGATCGTTCATTCTCGCGTTCTCTTATTCAATTTTCGCATTTCCCGCCAATAATGAGTGCCGTGAGCAAAAGCGCGATAATGTAATAATGATGAACGGGTAGCACGATATTGTGTGCACGTGGGTATACTTTTCTGCCGTATACATATCTTTAGTAATAATTAGCGTATAACATAACATACATTGCTCGCGTTTCACACGTTTTTCTCATGATTTTGCGAAAGAATTGCGTTTGAATGTTTAATTGTCTA